TCATAAGAAAACAAATATTTTATTTTCAAAATATGTATGTTAAACGTTCATAAATTATCGAATAGTTATAATACTTTTAAAACTCTAACTTTGATAGGTACTTATTAGAAATAGATACAAATCTATACAATTTTCGTACGTTCAAGTTACAGTTTATAGAAAACAACATTAAGACGTCTGTGGTGTACACATTCCATTACCAATCAACCGCAAAAAGCGAACAAAGCCAATGTTGTATCCAGTTAATTGCTCACCCTTGCCGCGCGACAAAAAACCGCGCCATATTGCGTCCAGCGCACACTAACCACCGCGAAAGAGAAATTTACGAATAAAGCCCGAATGGTTACACGCTGCATTTAAAATTAGAACCCTTTAGGGCGCCACACCGCCAGACAAAGGGCCGAATGGCAAATTGCCGGCAGGTAGCAATAGCGAATATGTCGAAATGGAGTCCCAATAATTACTAAGGGCTCTAGTTTAATAAATGGCTCTTTTTCTAAATTATGAAGGGCTGATCGCGCCATACGGACATACCTGCCGCGAACCCTTCGCCCTTCATATAATGAGGTATAACTCTTCATTGGTTTTATTTGCAGAGTTTTTTATGTGAGGTTGGCGAGTGGGCAACCCGAACTGATCGTTTAGAAAGTGGTCGCCGCTGACCATAATACCCGCTACCCCAATGTAATCACTTCTGAACTATGTAACAAATAGGTAATTTATAGAAATAAAGTCTTATGACACAATGCTGAAAAAGACATAATAATTGCTTGTATCTATAGAAAACTATGCAATGTGCGTAACGGCCCAACATGTAAACCCATTTTGATACAAAACAAATACGGTAAACATTTGCTACTGACAAAAGGAGCTCCTTAGAAATGGGTTTTATGTATCATTGTTTGGATAAAACAAACTCAGACGACATGTAATTGTACGACAACAAACCCTTTTGCCCGGAGGCAGTAGAGTGTGCCGCGATGACTTGTAATTCCGATGTTTTCGCTGTTAAAATCGTATTTCCTGAAGACGACATTGATCGCAGCCAGCGAGGCGAACACGAGTATTTCTAATATGCCCGGACAAAGCCCGGCTTCCAAACAATGCCTTCAGAGACTATTTAAAACGAATCCCTTGACGACACCTACGCACACAGCATCGAACTGATGTATGGACCAAAGCACATACTTTTAGAGGCGAATAGAAAGTAGATAGTATGTTCCTTTAATAAAAAAAATGTTAATAGTATGTTTTAATTTTATTTGTTAATATGCACAACTTAATAAAGATTTCTTTGAAAAAAAATGTAGTATACCTTATTAAGCTAGATATACAGAAACATGATAGGGTAACATCACTCAAATGATGTCTTAAATACCAGTTGAAAACCAGTTCACAATAATCTAAATAATTGGACACTTTAATAATTACTTATTGCACTTATACCACTTTAAAAATATTGAATATGGTACTCATTTGTTACGACAAGCTTCGATACGACAATATTTGCGATAAAAAATATTGTGCTGCAAACTTCTGTGACTTGCACCACACCGGGCGGAAGCTCGCAGAACGCTTCGATGGGTTTAACCGTCTAACTATCGGCAATCCTTTACTAGTGCAAGCCTTTCACGCGCGATAGACCAGAAATATTATTAATATTGTCAAATATTTTGGCGGCTCTCACAATGCACCCTTTATCCCCTATCCCCAATTAGGCTCAAGAGAATATTGTCGCTCAACTTTCTGAAGATTTATCGCTTGTCCTGGATTAAAACATTTATTGTCAGTGAATAGAATAGGGGCACAAGTAAAAAAGTTGTCTGATATCCATTACAAAGATATTTTGTTAGTTGTTAGGAGCCGTGGTGGGCTGGCGGACAACGAACCGCTAAGTACGTGTCCACGGTACAAGGCCGTTCTTACATAATTTTGTATAATAGCCAAAGAATAATAACAATCAATACCTACCGAGATGTCTGACTGGAAATAAATGATCTGTCTCCGATATCTTCGGAGAGGTTTTTCTTGAAGGTGTGATAATGAGTGAGTATTATTGTACTCATGCCTAGGACTGAGTTAGTTATACGTTGTCTATGTCTTGATTTTGTTTCTTTTTGTATGAAATCCTGGCTTAACTTTCCGGGTAGAATAGAAGATAGCAATATCGGAACAGAATCGTTTTAGAGAATTGCACATCCGACGTAACATAAGTATTTCATTCTTTGTTTCCCAGAACATGGGAGAATATTTATAAAATGAAAATGTGGTGTGCACATTGCATGCTCCAGCTCACTAATATTTTCTGTTTTACTAAATATGAAAATGGAGATTCGGTACACCACCACTTGAATACTTATTTTACAACTAACTCAACTTAACTTTACAATTCTCGACATAAGGAATTCTAAGTACTTACACCACGAAAAATATCGACAAAAATGCGAGCAACACGACGGGGCACCTCACTAATACCGTACATTATTGTAATGTTACTCAATTGTTAGCTTTTTACGTCAAAGTCGACGTCAGACATCAGCCGGTGGAAACTGGACACAAATACTGTCCATTAATACACGTCAAGTAGCGAGATACTGAACTAAGATCACATCATTAATATTGAGCAGTGACTACAAGTAGGCGGCAGAGGATAAATTTCATGGAGAGCTTGCTTTTACCCTTTACGACTGGCAATCTATTTGTCAGAGAAAAGAAAACACATTGAAGAAAGTTGAGAAAGGAATCGAATCATTTGGATCTCCAGCGTCCTAATTGTGTCCCTAATGTAGTTACCACGTGCGTTATGTTCTCTAACGATGTCGATTTTATGCTTGTCCGTACCTAACAATGGTGTAACGATATCATTTTACTACGTAACTCTGAAGGTTTAATTATTGAGGAAGACATTTCTTTTTTTAAACAGTGCATCACTGAAAACTTCTGAAATATGTAGTTATTAGAGTTGCTGTAGGTTGACTCGATCAAAAATAGTATCCACTAATAAATACGCAAGAGTATCTTAAAATAATAAAAATCTCAGTAACTAATTCAATCATAAAGCTTAGCTTTATTGTTATTTTTCTGAGAAATAAGTTTGATACTGCCTCGTTGGCCGAGTGGTCGCTACTGCGACTGCCAGGCAAGGAATCTCGGGTTCAATTTCCGGGACGGGCAAAGTATTACTGGGTTTTTAAAAAATCTCAATAGTAGCACGCAGTCTGGAATTGAGCCCGGTATATGGCAATAGGCCCCTATTACATGGGAGTCATAACATTAATAGTGAAAAGTGGGTGCTACATTGTACGCTGGCATTAATTGCCGTAATGTACACTTCTGCCTACCCCTTCGGGGATAACAGGCGTGATGTTATGGTGTGTATAAGTTTGATATGAAACTTAAAACAACAAAATTCAGGCTCATACAAGAATCATATCCAAATATCATTAAAAAATGTGTTGAGCTTGATATAAAAATAATAGTATTGGATGCGATTAGTTGGAAAATAACCCATTGTTTGAAAAGTCTAAATTATTTGGAATATCTACTTATGTACTTTTTGTAAGTTATAGTAGGCAATTCGATACAATTCCTAACTGGAAGACATTGTAAGCGGTGCTACCTACTGAAATTTTCGAAAAACCCGAAAGTTGAAGTCAGTGACGTCAAATAATTTACTGCCAAGTAAGTACTAGTAAGTATACTTTAGTAGTAGGTACATAGGTGTTTGATGTATGATTGTGAACCCACCCTGCGACATTTCAAGTCAATATATCGTCGAAAGTATTCATTTGTGTAAAAAAATCTACCAGACGGACGTTAAAATAAAAATTAGGCATCCCCTTTATTAGCTAAAACTTTACTTAAATTATTTTTTTCAGCTTTATGCTGAGTTTTGCCATTACTTTTTCATTGTAGAATCAAGCATTTCAATGAGTCCAAAATAAACTTGATACAGGTAATATCAACAATTTTTTTAGTAACTATCGTGAGACTCACTAAATTAACTTAAAATCGCTAAAAACTAGTAGGTAGAACTTTTATCAGTATTTTCACGAGAATAACCCGCGAATTTTAGTTAATCAACAAAAATTTCGAAAATAATGAGCAATTTTTAGCAGTCCTACACACTTACCATAATAAAGGCTGTATAAATTATGCAAGAGGTCTGCAACTATTGATTGAATTAATTGTGTCATGTTTATTTAGAACCGACTGGAATATCTGGTGATGTAAAATAAAAAATATGAGAGTCAAGTCATAAAACTGAAAATAAATTCCATTCAGGTGAAAATTTTACTACACATACCTACACCAAATAATATTTTGCGCAGGTACATGGAACTGCAAACCATCCTTTTGCTGTAATAAATTATACACAAACTGTCCACTCACAATGCGCGCGCGCAAGCCCGGTACAAAGCGAAGCTGCTTCGGTCAACCCATTAGCGCGCGCGCGGCGGGGGCTCATGATCACTTTGCTCACTTTAATTTATGTACTTTGTGCCATTGTCCAGCAACAAAGCATGCGTTTTATAGCATTCGGCTGCCGGACACCCAGATTAACATCTATGCTCGGTATCGCCTTTCTCTCGTTTTGTGCAACACACAATGGATATAACCGGGTAGCCACCTGGCTATAATGGCTTCAACGTACTGAATATCACAAAAAAACCCGCATACATGCTTAATTTTTAAAAATAACTATTAGATATAGAAATAAACACAAGAATGGTACTATTGTTAACGTTTTTTATTTCGACTTTCAATGAACCTTAATAAATTAAATAAGTAGGTGCATTTTTATTGGAACTACCGACATGATAGTATCTATTTAACTGACCACCTAGAATACATGTATCCGAATTTATTGTTTAATATTACATTATAATTAAAACTATTTTTATGATTAATATTATGCATTTAAAAGTTATATAATAATAAGTATAAAAAAGTACACATCCTAATTAAAATATCAAAATTAATTTTTAATGTGTTGAGAATAAAATCTCTACATTAAACTACCTACTAAACACTATAAGGTCATATATTCTGTAGGTACATACTATCAGTCTCATTCACTACTCATTTTCTATCCGCATGTCCCCATCATCACCGACGGTGTTCCGTGGACCATTTACAAGTTCTCCATGAACCCTGACACGATACACGCAGGTGTACACAGTGTTGCCCCAGTTTGTCAGGATCCTTATCTTCACGAGATTGTGACCCTTAGGGGACGGGAACATCACCTCAAAGTACTGGACTGGCTTTCCATCCTTGTCATACTCAAAACTGCCGTAGTCGTGAGGGTACGGGTCATAACGCTTCTCCAGACCTTCGACTTGAAAGAGACGTGGAGCTGATGATATTTCTCTACAAAATAAGTAAAAATTAAATACATTCGGAATTTACGTGGATCACCGCAAAGTAACTGGCCGTGTTTTGACACGAAGAACAGAAGGTCAAGCTTTATCCATGCAAGTCTAGGTCAGCAGTGGACAGACAAAACTTAATGCTACTTTTATAGCTCGCTTATAAAACCATTCGTCTTAATCTTAAATTAATTCAATAGTTTTTTTTATCATCAGCGTTTAGCCTAGGTTCACCCACTGCTTGGTATAGCCCTCTCCCCTTTTCTGCCATAATTTTAAGTGCAAAATCAACAAATTACCTCGTCGGTGCAATATGTGGTGGTATATGTTCGATGCTGATGCCGGTTATCCGTACGGTGCCAAGCAGACGTATCGTGGCCTCTCCTCTGGAGCCCTTAAACGCCCAGCATTCTCCTGGCAGTACACCTGGCCTGATTATAGCCCTGGCGCCTAGACATTCACGGCACATCCAAGAAGTCAGTACGTGCAGTGCCCAGCCGACTGGAGACTCATAAATCACGTGTTCCACAGTGTCTCCCGTGTCCAACACTCGTGCCCCTGCTGACTCCAGCGCGTAATCCGCTAACTGTTCACCAAAATGCATGTTTTACAAACTTTGTCAATGAGACAAAGTCATAGACGAAACAAGTTCGTCTTAATTTGATGTTTCTAAATACTTGCGGAATGTCGTGTAGGAAATTGGCCTCTGAGCTTAGAAGTACCAATATTTTTAGGCCTCAAAGTTTTATACATAGCAAAAAGAAACAAAACTTAGGGAAAAAAATCGAAAAGCAACATAAAACGGAAGCACGTGTAAAATAAAATATATGGAGATGATTGACAAAGATGTAACAGACACAAACAGTGGCTATCCGGGGTAGTGGCACACATGTGGCAAGGGGTAACTTGCTTCTACATACAACCTGTGCGGCCGCGATGGTGGTAACGACATATTAAGTAGCTTTCAGTATAGCGACTTAATTTTTTGTGCAATTAGGCTCTACTATCAAAATGTTGACTAATCTGAAATAATGCATTCAAGCTCGGATTAGCTCTTTCTACATACACAGTAACAAGCCATTCACAATCAATTTCCAGATGCCATGTACTCAGTTAGGATTCAATTTTCGGTATTTAAAATTTTTTAATAATAGCACCAAGTCTAACGTGGCGATAGGCTTTGTGGAATAAATGGCGTCATCAATGTTATAGTTAGACATTCGGCGTTCAGAAATACCTTCTTGGTCTAAATCTGTTCTTCTCTCTTGGTAAATTGATTGATTAAGTTTAAACTTCAAGTAACTTGACTAAATGTACAATTTGATATCGTTTACCTGTCTATCAAAATCTGGTGCGTCTCCTATCTGCCTATTTCGTAGTCGCAACACAGGATCGACCAGTGCGTCCTTGGCCCGGCCAGCCGCCGCAGCTACAGCGGGTAGCACCGAAGAGATGCGGTCCATCTCACCCTGCAGCCTCTCATGCTTGCGATTTACCTTTAATATTTTCATAAGAAGTAACTAAAACTATACTCGGTACCGGATTAACCATGAAACAAGCTTCAGTACTCTAGAATGTTCTTTTTTGTGATCGTGAGTGTATTCATATTGCCCAATCAAAACCACAATTTATGGATACCTACAAAGAATTTCGCCGTATCGAACCCGCGATACTTTTCGTAGCAACAACCACTTCGCTATCCATGCAGTCGACTATATCATAATTTAAACCCCTTTCCATTGATTGCACGTTCATATTTGACAGCTGTTATTCCTTTCCGACTACTTTACAAAATCATTACAATCAAGTAATTTACGAAAACTAACCACCTTATACATTTAAAATTCAGTCTACCAACGCCATCTGAGTTCAATCGTCACTATTCGTGACACTAAAACAATCTTCGTTCGTAGCACCTTGTAGCTCTAGCGTAGCACTATGAAATAGTGCGTAGCAAGTGTTAGTGCCGTCAACGCCATCTACTTTGGTAAATGTGAACTATTAGCGTCCTTGAAGAACTTTTCACATAAATAGGTCGATAGACAGATACTGACTGAAGTATTTCCTTATTATTTGAAATATGTATTGGAAGTTTCATTCAATTATTTATATTTAATAAGGTATTAATTATTTTAATACAAACACAACAAAAAGAACTAGCGTCCTTTTCCATGTTTTTGTCATGGAAATTGTAATTACATTCCTACATTTAGCCGTTTTTAGGATCCTAGTTTAATTTTCTCACTAGTTCTATCTCCTTGATCTAACATCTACTGCAAAAAATGGATAACAACCTCAGATAGTCCTCTGGTGAGCTGCATGACAACATATTTGATGTCAGTGAAGTCCCCGTCCAGAGTTTCTTGTGTGGGACCCCAGAAATATGCGTAGACATGTAGGCCCAGCAACAATGACAGTGCAACACACACGAAAGATCGGAACACGTTTCGGAAGCACCCGTCTTGTCTGCATCCATGATCCATAAATTATTTTGCTATTCAAGTAATAATTTTAATTCAAGACTTGATTAATCTTCTGGTGAAACAGATATTTTATGATTCCAGAGGCTTGTCTAAATCGTTTCTTTTTAAAAATTAATTATTATATTCAATCACAAAATAATAAGACTGGCTTGTAATGTTGAATTATTTGACACTGACAATATCATAGTGAAGTGTAGTTGATAGCAGTGCTTTCTTGACTATAGAATGTTTTGCTATAGTTATTATACTTTTTGATGTTTTGTAAACTCCTTTATGATGTGGTTTACTCTCTTTATGAAAAAATTGGTGTGAACACTGGTAGTTACATTTGAATTACACAAACCTATCACAGTTGAAAGTGATATAACAATTTTATATAAAAAAACACAGGTATAGGGTTTTATGTCGTGTATTAATACAAAATGGCTAAAACAGCAGATTGTTACATAATTCGTAACCACAAAATAATATTGGTATATTTGAGACATAAATGTTTAATACATACTTGCAAAACAGTCCTAAAGGTATAAATTATACTATCAAAGTATCAAAGTATTAAAGTGGTGCCTAGAAGTGCACTTTTTAATACTCTGAACGGAATTTTAATGAAACCAGAAATAAAGTTAACAATAATTCAAAATTTTCGCGATAAAAGTATCACAGGCACATCTAGGCACCATGATCGCAAGTTATGTAAAAATCTGCAGTAAACGAGTTTACGCTTTCTGGTTTTGGGTGGCGTATTCGATTTGTGCGGCGGCCACGGACTTCATAGCTTCGTGTGCGGACTGTACGTTACCGCGCCACGCCAGCAACACGTCGCGCAACTGTTGCCACTGCGCGCGACCGAACGTGCGGTGCATCGTACTCGACACGCGCACGACTCGCTCGTTCTGGTCCATACGCGCGCGCACTAAACGGGTCTTCAACACTGGAAACAGTTAAATAAATAAAATGGAAACAGTTATCACTTGTTAAATAAATTACATTTACCTCACCTCACACTTATAGAATAATGAGTCCTTGAATCGACTTTCACTCCAATCCTACCTCTTTGGAGAATGAAAGAAGTGAAATTCAATATGAAATTGTACTCTATAATATTTAATTTTATAACTTGGAATTACCTTCAATGATGAATGCTTCAACATCTTTCTCCTCAATTTGGAGTTCAGAAATGATCTCATCATAGCCGAGTTCAGGATTGACTTCAGCCATTTGCATGAAGGACAATATCCTCATTTTCTTTACATTTTGTTCATGATCCAAGCCTGAAAATAAATCATAATTTTGATTAGTAAATAATGTTGGTATTAAACAATGTTTAGACTTATTGGTTCAGTAAAAAACACACACCTTGAGAATGAACAAATTCCTTATGATTCTGGTAGAAGGTTTGATAGCTAGACAGTTTCTCTGACACAAAAATGGTGAGCAGGTCATGGATCAGTTCACCTTCAAGGAATCGCACAGGTTTGAGGGACAGGAGGGGATCCAAAAGGAATGTAGTGGGATCAGCCAGTGCGGTTGAGATACATTTGATGGCATCCTCTCTTGCGTATGATGCATTTTCATCAGTGTATGTGCCCAGGAGTTCAATCATAACCTTTGAAGCCAGTTCACTGAAATAATAAATGTTGTCTTATTAATTTTCTCCCAGTTAACCACTGATTTGACTTTACAAAATAATACATTATTGTATAAGAATAGTCTAGTATTTCTACATATATTACCTGTTCTGGTCTTTGAGAACTTGATGTAACAGTCTGTAGAGTTTTTGCATTTGTTCATTGGTGGGAGGGCAGCCAGAGAACTCTTTCCTCAGTTGCTCAACACTGGTGAAGACCTCACGCACATAACCAACTCGCGCTGCCAGCTCTATTACATGGTAATATACATGGTAACGGAGAGGTGAGTTAGCCTCCAAGTTGTTGTATAAGCGCCACAGTCTGGAATATTTAAGATTAAGTTTGTTATGTTATATATGAGATTTGTTAAGTGTTGTAATTAATTTAAACAATGTTGTCTTGGCGGTATATGGCTCACCCCCTATTACATGGGACTCATAACATAAATAGTGAAAAGTGGGTGTTACATTGTAAAGTGGCATTAAGCACCATAATGTGCACCTCTGCCTACCCCTTCGGGATAATAGGTGTGATGTAATGTTATGTTATATCATGGCAAGCTTGTTCTTCCCCTTGCCCCGGGTCACTTGTTCCATTGTAGGGCCATCCACAATTGAGTAATCAATAAATTGAGTAAGAGTGATTTGTATATTATAAGGCACTACCTGTGCACTAATTGGAATGTGGCTAGAACTATCAATAAACAAAATTAGGCACTGTATCTAAACAGTTGTGACCCATAATTATTAGATTAATAAGAAGCAGATTAATCAGGGTAAAGTTATTTATAAAAAAACATGACCATACATACTCAAGTAATATCTTACTCAAATTAATCTACATTGTATGGTAAATTAAAATATCTCTGAACAATAATACATTGATTCTTAACTCAAAAACAATTGTACTTTGAATTATGTTTGCTAGGTTTGCATATGAATTATAGAGGACACTTACGCCTGTAGAACCACCATGCCAAGCTTGGGTCCTGGTGCCTTTGACAGCCTTTGACTAAAGGCTACAATCAAATTTTCTCCTCTCTCCAATGGGATCTGAAATGTAAATTCAAATAGTATATAATAATGACACAGGAATGTTTATTCTCGATAACCCGTTAACTTGACGATTAAGTCTGTAATAAAAAGACTTGTACCGAAAATATGTGTAAATACTCTTCTTATACTTTATATTCAATTTAAATAACTTGACATCAATCTGCTTACAAGCCAGTGCACTTACCGACACCATGATGGACACAATACTGTTGAGAATAGCTTCAATCTCAGCTTCATTAGGTTCCTTGAAACAAACATCACAAACGCCCACAATTTTATGCAAGTCGTCTTCTATTCCCTTCGGAGACTTCTCTTCAGCTATCTCGGCACCAAGACTCTTGAAATATTTTCTTAGTTCTAGCGCCTGAAACCAGGAATATTTACAAATGCATCAATATTCTACATAATTTGTTACTTTTACCGAACACGGCTAGGTTATGTTGACGTAAACTTACTTGATCTTCAAGAGATACATCCATAAAAACTGCTGGACCTTGCATTTTGATGTCTTTTTACGTGTATTCCTTTCACTTTAATTGAATCCTTCCCTGGAGGAGATAATATTAGAAAATACATGTGCCACAAGCAGTTTATGACACGGCACGGTGTTTAACAAGGGCTGTCACAGATAATATTTTGACATTTACGGTTCAATAGCAGATAATCGGTTTTTGAGGTATACCCGCTGGTATCAACAAAGCCTTATATTCGGAAGGGTAAGTGTTAAGACATCACTAAAAAAATTCACTCATTACTCTATAATTTCAATAGTCTGGGCCCTTGTTTATGATCAGATTTGACATTGACATGTATGTAAAAATCTCTAAAGTGTCAATTTTATTATTTTGATTGAATGCATTTTACTGAGTTAAAAATATTCATCAATTAAACAAGTTATTTGATCACTAAAGCGCGTTGTGTTTAAAAGTGAGCTACATTTTAATCTTCTTTTTCAAAATGAGTAGTTTTCATAAAACTAGTGATTCACGTGTGACTATCAGTGGGACTAAAGTAAAAAACTGTTTGCCGATAATATCATCTGGTATTCCCTCTTTGGATCATGTAATTGGTTAGTAATCTACTGTAATTTTTGCATATAGATATAAAAATGAGTAATTTTAATTAATTCGATTACTAACACTAATAAATTACGTTGTAAACATAACCTAAAATGTTTGTGCCAATATGTCCAATAAACACTAACTAACACAGTATTTTAATCGTTTTGTGCTGTTACTGCAGCAATTAATGCATGTTAAATATTGTTATAGGCGGTGGTCTACCTGCAGGAAGCGTATTTATTGTTGGTTTGTATACAAATTTTAACAATTTTCTTACAATGTAAAACTTGATCATCATTGTTGGATGTGTTAGATAACTAATCATAACTATTTTTCAGAGGAAGATGTGCTTGCTAATTACAGTAAAGTTCTCTTGAAGTATTTCTTATCAGAAGGCGTAGCTTGCAAGCACGACCTGTGCATTGCATCGGCTGATGAAGACCCAGCCAACATTGTAAGCAGCAAATTATTAATATTTAATGATTAATATGTTATGGCAATTAATACCCTAATTATTATACTATTTGAAGTATTTTGGATTTTAAACCTTAATTTCAAATTATTAGTTTCTTATCAGAATATGAATATTTATTAAACTTTAGTTGTATTAACTGTGTAATAATATTTGATTTTCAGGCCAAGGAGTTACCTTTACCAACAACAATTCCACAGGACGATGAAATCACAACAGCTGCTGCAGATGTAGATAAAATGAAAATAGCTTGGAGATATGAAGGGCTTAGCCAAGTGGAGTCCTCTTTTGGTAACAACACAAGTTTTGGTCACCATTTTGATCTGAGCAAACATATTGATGCCAAAACTATTGACAACCACAAGATACATTATTGTAAACTGGAAATTGAAAATAGAAGTGTTAATGGTAAGTTGTAAAATGTGTTTTTCATACATTGTCTTCTGAGACTGTGTTTAAAATTATGCAAGCTGTAATTGTATTTGTCTATTTTTTGACCATACTACTTTGAGAGTACTAAAAATAGAATTTAATCAGTCAAAAAGTACCTATATTAGCTAAATCAGTTGGTAGGTTAGTTGTTGTATTTTCATGTATCACTGTTTGTTTGCGATTTGAATCCTTTTATTTGCTACAAGATGAAATCATAGGATCTAAAATTTGTTAATCTTGTTCCAGGTTTCAAAAACAATTTGTACCACAAATTACTAACTACTATTAAAGAATTAGTTTCTAATGAAGAATATCAAAGTAGTGTTAAGAAAAACAGTAATATCTTAAGGATTGGTGTACATGCGTTAGGATCTCCTGTATGGATGGCGATGGACTGTGATGATGAAGCCAATACTGTTTATGGCCAAGATCTGATCAAGTTCATGTATTGTCTGAGAGTAATACTCAGAGACACCAATGCTGTGGCATTTGTAACCATTCCAGCTCATCTGTTTGACGTAAGTGGTTTTCATATTAATATGTAGAAATTATATGTTTTGTAAGCTTGTTTTCTTTTACAATTTATTTTTCGTGCGATTTTACCTGCAGCTTAAGTCCTATTTGGTGCAACCTTCCCTGATAAATAAACCCCAACACAAAAAACTTTTTTCAATTTAAACCCTTAGCTTAGAGAACTCTTATATTAATTTATGCAATATTAATGTTTGATTCTTTTCAGGATGATCACGTAATGTCAAGGGTACTGTATTCAGTAGATAATGCAGTCAGAATAGAATCATTTGCTGGCTCAAGTAAAGAGACAAACCCAGTTTACAAAGATTATCATGGGCTGTTCCATATAACTAAGTTATCAGCTATGTATTCACTTGTACCATTTGTTCCGCCCAGTCTTGATCTAGCATTCAAACTAAAGAGGAAGAAGTTTGTCATAGAAAAGCTGCACCTACCTCCAGGTATGTTTTCAATAGACATACATAACATCACGCCTTTTATCCCCGAAGGGGTAGGCAGAGGTGTACATTACGCCACTGTACAATGTAACACCCACTTCTCACTATTTATGTTATGAGTCCTATGTAATAGGGGGTGAGCCTATTGCCATATACCGGGCACATTTCCAAACACCGTACTACTACTGTGAATTTTTAGAAAATCCCAATAATACTTTGCCCGACCCGGGAATCGAACCCGAGACCCCTTGCCCGGTAGTCGCACTTGCAACCACTCGGCCAATGAGGCAGTCCTCAATAGATTTTAATCATTTCTGTGATTCTTTCTGATAAAGCTAAGAAATTAAATATTTGCTAACTTTTTTTTTAAACTGTTCTGTAAAAAATGTTAATATTGTTAAATAAGTATATAAAACGAATAATCATTATTATTAAATTTCGTATTTCATCTCTTTCAGAACTCCAAGAGACAAAGGAACGGGAGCAAGATGACATCACAGGTGTACCAAATGTAAACTGCGGTGGTTTCAAAAAGAGAGACATTGAATTTTAATATAGTATCATGTATAGTATAAATATTTTTGTAATATAATATACAGCTATGAATTGTTTTCAATGAGTATTAATTAAAACCTTACGTAATGCTATACTTGTAATTAAACAGTAACGTTAGATGTCGCAATGCGCGCGGGTCTCCATAACGAACCTGTCTTTCCACAGTGTGTGGAGGCATGCCTGAGTGATTCATGCATTAATTTTATACAAAAATGCTTTAATACTCAGTCACCCCACCTGTTCACCAGAGCGTATCTCCCTAAAACCGGCGAATCTATTCATCGTCCGTTTGTTTATTCACATACTCACATTAGTAGTTGGAACTACAACACTTTGACCACATTTCTCCGTGTCGTATTACATTTATAGTGTTCCCTGTCCCTGTAGTGTCTTTTAACTGTTTATAATTTAAAAATGTGCAAAAATGAAACAAGTGCAAAGGTTCTTTTCGGATGTTTCAATACCATATTTTTTGTAAGTAATCTATTTTTAATTGTTTCTTTTCTATTGGATTTCGAATCCACCTTGTTGCAATTTTTCTTCCTGGTGTGAAGGTTGCGAATACTTACAATGTTTGGAAATTGGCACAAATACTTTAGTAAGTAAATTGAAATGTGAACTTTATTTACAGGCATGTGGTTTTGTGGAAGTAATATGTGGATTTCTATTGCTATGTGATTCGAAAAGAATATTGCTATCACGGTTACTGGCTGCTCCTGATGATGATTTGCTGACGCATCCACCGTTCTACTACTTGGCCCTCGGTCTACTGGCGGCTGGCCTGGCTATGTGTGCTACAGGAGCGCTCGGCTGTTGGGCCACGTACATGCCCAGTTATTCTGTCCTGAGCATTGTAAGTGGACTATAAAATTACGTTGACTGAGTATTAGGTGATATTTTTTAGAATATGTTTCGTTCAAGGTTAATGACAGATATATTCGGCATAATCAGTCAGATGTATCGGAAGCTTCAAGGCTTATTTTTGTTTTAAACTTATTTAATTGAGAACTGATAACACCCTTACACATACCTACGCAGTTGTAGTAGGTAGGTACTTTGATACCACATGAACACCACGTGACAGTCCAAATGGAATATAGGTCCCCTCTATATGAGAGGATTAGCACACGCTTGACAGATAAGTTAGGGAGCGCAGTTTAAAAGACAGTCCCTATCAGTCTCTATCAGTCTCTTAGTCAGCTCTTACTACACCCCCGGAAAGAGTAGGCCCCTACTCTTTGGTGACAAAGTATTTTACTGTGCCGTCCCCACACGATTACAGATGAAAATAATTCTTTTAAAAAACCTTCGATTAATCCGATTTTAATCACCGCTTTTTTTTTGAAGTCGGTTTATTAATATACTAAAACCTTATCGTAAGTGTAACAAATACTGTTCTAAAAGCCGCATCAAAATCAAACATACTTACATACAAGTCAAACAGAGAATTGAAACAATTTGTTTCAGTATTTTCTGGTGGTACTAGCAATGTTGCTATGTGAATGCGCCGGCGGTGTTATAGCTGCTATCTGGCCACGATGTCTAGGACTTCAAAGCACGCGAGGAGGTGCAGTCGGTGCCCTACAGACATACTACGCACTACCCGACTTCGAACATTTTACTGCCGCTGTAGATCTCGCACAAACTGAGGTATTGAATTCTGAATGTTTTAATCTATTTTGGTTAGGATTACCTAGTGGTAAGCATCGGCCACGCTTATGGATATTAGTAATACACAAAGTGGTTACAAGTGCGTTGCAGACCTTGGGGGAGGGGGGAGATTGGGTCCCCGGTAACATAGCAGAAACATTGCTACAAACGCAAGCGTTGCTTCACGTCCGTAATATTTACCGCCAGGCAACCCAACCCGAGGATCCTTTACCGCCAGGCATAAGTAAACATAACACCACGCCTTTTAATCATTAAAAACGTAGGCAGAGATGCACATGTGTATATTGATACCACCCACTTTTCGCCACTTAATTTATGAGTCCCTTGTTAAATTGACATATACTGGGCACGATCGACCCCGAGATGCCTTGCTCCTCGCCTGTCGCAGTCAGACTAACATGCTTACATCTGAACATTACAGTTACAGTGCTGCGGTATGACAGACGCCCGAAACTATGACATGTCGATCTGGCAACTAAGACGCCTCGGGCCGCGGGGCATGTCGGTCCCGCTCAGCTGTTGTGTACAATACGAAGACAACGTGTCGTACCTCAACCCTGCGCCAGTAAACGCATCACGATGCCAAGAAGTACAAGCCAATCCCACTTTTAGATATGTACCCGTAAGTTACATTTACATCACGCTTTAAATCTCTGCAATTTCCATATGACAGGAATTTATACCTTAGGTACCAATAGATAACCGCGTGATGAATGCAGAATAGGAAAAATGTCACCCTTTACTCTTCCCGCGGGTGCCGTAAACCCGAACTTTAAAACTGCTAGTTCCAATACCCAGCGACCAAGCATGAAGAATATTATAGTAAACTCATTTGTGCTATGTCAACATCCTTACGATAGTACAATGCTGGATTTGTGCTCATAGTCCAACATTGTACTATCGTAAGGCTGTTGAAGTTGAACTAGTGAAGTCCTTATGTCTCAGGGATACACTGTGGACGTGCACTTGCACTGTCAGGAGGGAAATTAATTTTTTTTTTTTACTATCGAACAAATCCAATTTTAAAAGATAAAATATCGATTGTAGTTTTGAACATAGCTAGACTTATTTTTAAGTTCCCATATGGATAGCAGATCGCAGAAGCGCGTCCTTAAAATTTTCAAATACTGACTCTTAACCACCTTCATTAAAGTCATTTCTTACATTTCAGGGTTGTCTTGGACCTCTAGAAGACTGGTACCAACAGCAATACTTAATACTTATGCTTGGTCTATTCATCGTGGCGCTCTTCAAGCTGGGAGTTCTACTGAGCACTATATTCTCTTGCATACGACTCAAAAAGCGCAGACAAATACTGCAGGCTGCATTCTCTATGAGATCGTTAGACAATAACACGAACGAAAATATTTATGAATGTAAACTTAGCACAGTGCATGAAGAACCAATCACTGCTAAATACATCCAGCCGAATAATTTTTATAGCCCAAGGTTACGGAACCCAAGAATTTTCGATAGTAAACCAAATGAGGTCGTATGAGAATTAGCTACGGAGATAAATGCTTTAGAGAAGAAGTTGGAAAGGTTTTCAGATTATTTGTATAAACATCAAGCTGACTCTATCATGTGGTGATCAGACCGTCAGCTCTGCCAACAGGACCTGCCCAGCTTTTTGCGTAATAAATGTAAGTTTTTGACTCTCAAAAATATTTGAATACGAAACATGTGCCATAAATCAAATATTCTTATAACATTTACTACTTAATAAGAGCAAGGTCCGCACAATTTGTATTGTTCTCTAAAGTACTTACTCCGGCTTTACGTTAGTACTTCTATGTGTTCGATTAGTTTAATTATTAGGATTTAAAATAAATAAAACACATTCACTCAATATGCAATATTATTTTCAAAAGAACGTTCAAAAATTGGTCCTAAATTTAAAACATTATTAACAATGGCTCTGGAATGTTGCTATCATTCACAATAGTTGGTTTTATAGCTGTAAACTATTTCAGAGAGCTAAACCTTCATCGATTGGATTGTTTATACATAATGATTTTATTAATTTCATACCCATCGCTGGTATACATTGATCAAAAACTCCTAAAGTTGTTTAACAACAGTTTTGTATTTACACTACTACAAAATAACGAAATGGGCGATTTGCATTCTCAAATACATAAAAAATAATAAACAGGAAATGCACTTCACAAAGAATATGCTACACATTCGATGAAAAAGTAAATAATAATGAACCAACAAATCTATTCCAGAATCTCTCAAAACCCCGAACTAAAATGATACCATGAGATCCTTAACAATAACAATAATCTATGTATAATAATTGATACTATTTATATCTATTGACCGTTGAGACCGACATCACAGTATAATCTACATTCATCTTAGGTACAGGAATGATCTTACTATATTCTTACTCCATACAATTTACATTTTGCACTATTTTGATACATCGAGCTGTCCCCAATTTAGACAAACCAACAAAATATGCTCTGGAATTAAAAGTCAAGGACAAAAGCTGAGAGAAAAAAATAAGGAAGCCGCACATTGGCGCCACACATGTTTTAGCTGAAGACGATGTAAATAAAATTGGAAGTGGTGTAATTCGAGGATCGAGGTGATCAGCCGGTAAGTGTGGCAACACGCACTACCAACGTGAACAGGCGGATGTTGGAAATATTTGTTGTGTACTGCGATGTTGCCACACTTCATACAACTTGAAGTTTCCCAAATTAGAGGTATAATAAGTTAAAAGCCGCCAATGATCAATCAAACTGCCATTCCGCGTAGAAACAAAGTTGTCATTAGCTGATCATCTCGATTTAAATTATTATAGGTAATAATATATTTATCTATGTTTTAACATAGCTGTCTGTCTATTGCCCCATATATTTTATTTAATATTTTCATAAATAAAATCATTAACGTAAATAAAATATTGTCTTTTGTGCTTTTTACCTTATCAACTACAATAAAATTTGCAATAAATATACATTAGCCTACTCTGCCGCTAAATAATAATTATCATAAGAAGAATAAGAATGTCAGTTTCATGGATACTCTGAGACTGTCGGTAGTATATTTAGCTTATATTTAATATTACAAACATTTAAAATTAAAATATTTACAAAGGAATTATTAACAATAGTAAAACCTATAAACACTACGAAATTGATATTTTTCATAATAAATATAGTCTACAAAACAATGTGGTCCAAAATGTAAAGTGGCTTACTTGTCGGTCGCTTACGGTATACTCGTAAGCGGGTTCTACTGACCATACTCCACTCTGGCCATGTTAAATTCCTGTGTAATAACTTTGGTCATCATTTGTTCCATATTGGTCGTACATTTGTATTTTAGAAGATATATTAAACACATTATGTAGACAAAACCCGAATATGATAAGTCTAATTGACTTTCAATTGCGTCAATTAGGAATTGCATTATTCTAAAACGCACACTTATAGCTGTGCAATTGATAATAATTTAAAGGATGTCATTTAAGAAGGAGTTGTCTAAGGAGTTGAGTAGCTCCTGCGCGGTGAGATTGCTGGCGTCCGTGGAAGGCATGTTGTCGAGGAAGTCAAGGTTGAAGTCTGTGGTTTGTCCGGTGAAGGAAGACGTGTTGTGGAGCGAGGGGAACGAATGCTGCGCCACGTTCCCGTTCTGGCTCTGCATGGGGTTAGTCTGAGACATCATGGAGTTCTGCTGCATGGGGTTGGTCTGCGCGTGCATTGGTCCCTGGCCTTGCATCGGCCCGTTCTGCATGGGGCTGCCCTGGTGCCCACCCATGCCCATGCCACTTTGTTGCATAGACATGCTCTGAGATTGGCTCATATGGATATTTGGCATCTGCAAAATTATAGAATATTCGCTATAGAAAATGAAAACATTATGTACATAATTTGTAAGTCGAGAATGGCTGGACCTCTGTTCATGATTTTAGATTAATGCAATCGTCTCCATCCGAACTATTCAAAACATTTGGGATTTCCTTTACAAAAACGTGTTACAAAAAAAAAGTGTTCATTAATCCTCTAAAATATTTGTTAATTGGTAGTTTACGTATGATAAATGTAATGTAATAATTGTTACCTGTCCTTGCACGCTCATCATCTGGTTCTGTTGCATAATGAGATGAGACATGGGCTGTTGTTGGTTGGACGCCCTGCAACGTAAACAATAACGTGAGTAACAATATAATATTACCAACAAATAGTTTTGCTATGGTTTCAGTATGCAGCATCATATAATACGTATAATAAGAGGCATAATCAGTACGCACATACGTCATAATTGAATACAGCAGCATTCTTATAGAAGTCTTTGAAATATTTTTGAATCATTGAAGTAACTAAGCCGGATACGTACCGCTGTTGCTGCTGATGTTGCATAAGCTGTTGCTGTTGCAAGCGCGCCTGTTGCAGCTGCATTTGTTGCTGCTGTTGCTGTGTCATGCCACCCATTGTGCCCATGTTGAATCCTGAAAGTAACAATTTCTTATTCGTATATTCCTTTTTACAGCATGGACAAAGAGCAAATACTTGAAAATGTTCACTAGCTGTTAATATGTCGGAAGATGTTAGGACTGGCTGTGAGAAACGAAAGCAAGTTCGAGCCATGTGATAATGGCAATGGGTAGATGTAAGTACGTACCTTGGTGGTGGTGCGGGAACTGTTGCCTGGCGGCCTGCTGCTGCATGAGCACGTGGCGCCACTCGGGCGAGTACTGGCGCGCGTGGTGCGGGAACGGCCGCGACTGCGGGGCCGGCGCCCGCCGCACGCCCAGCGAGCCCTGCGCCGGGCCCCCGCCGGGCCCCACGCCGGGGCCCACGAACCGCGCCTTGTACTCGGGCGGCGGGGGCCTCATCTGTTGCTGCTGCGCGCGCAGCATCTGTTGTTGCTGTTGCTGCAACATCTTCGCTTGCTGCTCCCGCGATATTCCTGCCGCTGCCACGCCTGTCATGTTATAGTCAAGGTCATTATCATGTTTTTAGTGTAAACGCATAGTGTTTCATTATCGGAATGCAAACACTACATTTGCCAAATATAAATTCCAATAAAAATTCTGTATCTAGGTAGAACAAAGATAAGGTGCTTATTGCTACCACAATCATCATGAGGCCTGAGGACGTATTAATAAATATATTTTTTTTTATTTCAAATTGGCCTTTATTACGTGTACATATGGTATACTGACCAAGGGGTGGGCCGCCCTGTTGCGAGCCCTGTTGTTGCGGGCCCTGCGGCCGCGCTCGCATCGCCTGCGAGAAGTTGATGCTCTGCGACTGGGACACTGAGTATGTGTCACACCCGCCACCTGCGGAACAAAACATTCAAATGTCTCATTTATCTTTGTTATGGTAAAAGAAAACTTACTTGTGATCGGTTATTATTATTTAGTTTTGGCCGTTGTCAACGGAAATGTGAATAACTGTAAGTTGACATGCGATTTATGAGAAAAATTATGGGAATCTACGGATTATCTATCCAGAAATTACCTGTCGGATGGTAAACCCGACGTATTACAACTAACAGGCTAAGAGAAGCCATCGGGTTTTCCTAGTTAGAGGTAAAAATATACATAAATTTATAATAAATAGTAAAATTTCCTGATATTGTTTAAAATAATTAAAAGTAGTACAAAATTCACTACATATTGCTAACGATTTCAATTGAATCTTTGTCACTGCATCATCATGATGCACATTTTATTCCAACAGTCATAATAATACGTGAGTGGTAAGTGACATAATAGCAAGATCGTTGTGCATATAAAATTAGCGCAATTAATAATTTATCCCGAAATATACATTACGTAGTGTCCAAGTATGTAAATAAATGTAGAGTGGGATGCATCATGTAAGTGCAACGCGCACACAGCGTAGTGCGTAGGTAATAAACACGTCAATCTAATGTCATCCTCATCCGAGGTGCGCGACTTGGCGCATTCTCGCAGAGCGTCAACCTCGGCCCTCCGCCCCTCGACCACTCACCACACGAACAATGTAAACTCAGACCTACAGAAGCTCCACAAACTACACATAATTAGGCTAACGACTAAGTAGCGTTGAATATTCAAAAGAAAATAAATAAATAAATCTTGCTTGGATCATCAAAGCAATGAATTTTGTTCGCGTTATGCTGGGTGTACGACTGTACGTGAGTATCGCGTTTTTTAATTGAAACCGAAACGACCTTACGTGCACGTATCACAAACGTTTGCGTTGATGTCTAGCTACTTACTACTATTTTAGGAATATCATACTTTCTAATCAAATTGAGAAGAATATTCAAGAGATTAAATTGTCTGTCTCGATCGTTAAGGTCAGGCTTCGTCACATTTAGAGTGGGCCTTCTGCCTGTTCTAATTACACAGTAACACCACATACGCCACCTTGCATTTACACACACGCTATCACTTAACGCAATAGCATAAAGATGCTAATAGTTTGATTGTGGGCACGTACCACACTTACTAGTTATGTGCTTGTAACTTATGTACCTAGAATGTCCAAAGCGCATGTGTTTATGAAAAATAAACCCAGCACGCGAGGTTTCTTTGTTTTTTAATACTTTATACCTGGGATCCAGATAGCCATCGATTACTGCGACTGTGTAATAACGCGATGGTATTGTGCACGCCGACTCTTAGTTTTATACATATTTGTACATATACATGTCATGCATGAGACAGACCCGCTTCTCGTAAGAGAGTTCAATATCGTAAAGACAAAGGCTACTCCAATAGAGTAGTAATTTCCGAGGGA